AGATTTCGAAACACCAGTCGTGACCATATCTGCTTGAACCCACCAGCAGCTTCAATAGCACAGAAGCGAAAGCCATCTTCAGCAGATGAAATCTTTGTTGTCGGGTGGAAAGTAGGTTCACACGTGTTCCCTTCAAACATCACCCCGAAAAGGAAGCTCACGACAGGGCGCTTTGCCAATCACCCGGCATGTGGGTAGCAGCTACGGCCCTTACGCGGCTGGAAACTGTAGGAAGCCCAAAAGCCTCCAACCCGAGGGGCGCACGGTGCTCAAAAGGATTTCGAGTCATCTTTTGGCTTGCCGCGTGCCCGTGTCCGCCAAAAGACCGCCGAAACATCCTCCCACGGCAAAATCAACCCATGGCCTCCTCCAAGACTTTCTGGAAGCTTGGCATTTGCCTGGCCGCGGTTTGGAAGAGCTCTCGGGGCCTTAAGAGAAGGCCTGAAGTTGAGCTGCGGATTTTGTGAGGCGCGTAAGCTGCCTTTGGCTGGCCATGGCACCCATGCTCACACCAGAGCAAATAGTAAGGGCAAGGGGAAAGGCGAGCGCTCCGGAGGCCTGCCTGGCTCCGAGTTGCCGGTGCTTTTGCCCTACGGAAAACCACAATTCCACAAGAGCCTTTTGAGTCACAAGATGGCCCCAACCATATTTCCTTAAGGCAGGTGGACACAAGTTCCTAGACTCAACTCGGGCAAGCTGAGCCTGTGCTGCCGCAAGAAGGCGGAGCAGCAGCCTCGATAGCACAGCCGCAGCCGAAACTCGGCGAGCTGCGAAGCATGGTCATCCCAGCCGATCTGAACGGCAGAAGAAGAATTGCAACCCGTCTTGGTTGGATTCCATGTTTAAGTTTGTTTCGCACTTTGAAGGAAGGCGACTTGAACAAATGCTGGCTGCACGTCAGATCTGGGGTGGGATATGTCAAACCATGTAGAGAGAACCCAGGGAACCTATCAAAACCTAGCAACTGAAGCGGGTCTTTACTGCTGAGAGAAACCCTGCACCTGACCTAGCCGACTAGCCCTGCCAAGCCTAGGCTGACCAGGGAACGCATGGCATCCGCGTCGACCAGCCCTTCAACGCACAAGCATGAAAAAAGGAAGACGGATGGCATGCCCAAACTCAAGTCAGTTGTGCCAATGACGGACCGACGGACGGACGCACGAACGGACGGACGCACGAACGGACGGACGGATGGATGGACTGACGGCTGGATGGATGGAGATGGAGATGGAGATGCAGATAGAGATGGAGATGGAGATGGAGACGGATGGATGGATGCGTGGACAAGCTTTAGTAAGGCTGGGCCCACAAGTCAGCAGCCTAACATGGCCAAGTGAGTTTGTGCACAGATGGAGAAGCACCCACACTGAGCCTTGGAAACCTCAACAACCCATTCTGCTATTCTTGTTGCCCACTTTATTCAACAGACCGTTCCAGACAGCGTTCCTTTCGGCCTGCAACCTAGCGTGGAACCTAGTGACCTCCGACCCACTTGCACCCTACTTGGGGGTTGCTAATGGGCGTATTTCAGGAAACAATGCCGACACCTTAATATGTTTCACTTGGGTCCCCTGTTGAGTATGCTACCACGCACAGCCGAAAGTCTTCCAGGAGCTCTGAGCCGAAAATGTCTGAGCTCCGGGCAGTAGGCCTCCACGGCCTCGCCATAGGCCTTCCGATCCAGGCACTTCTGGAGGGTGCCGGGGAGCCCGAAGAGCACCTCCGTCCCAGGCCCGGGGCGGGGTTTTGGGGGGGGGTTGGAGTGGCTCCTGGGAAAGTTCCCCCGCAGGATTCTGCATCGGCCTTCGTGGTGCCGATTGGGAAGCGGATCTCCTGTTTAGGAGTGCTAGAAGACAGAAAATGTGGATTTTACACATGCGAAGGAAACGTGGCCCCCTTTTTATGGCACGTGTGCTTTACAGGTACATCTTCCCGCCGCAATTTACAGCGTATGGCACATCCACGAGGTGCACCAGTTGGGAGCGCGCCTGCAGCTTGCGGCAGACCCGCTGCCTCAGCTTGGAGCCATGGCCAAGACCCTGTCCGGCAGGCGGCAAATCGTCAACGCAGCGTGTGACAACGCAGCCGGGGCACTGCTTCAGCAGGCCCTCGATCTGCCCAGCGCGGCCCGAGACGCCGTCCTCCACCTTCTTCTGGTGCTCTGAGATCCTGCGGAGACAAGAACCAAGGGATCGATGTGGGTCCTCCAGTTCCACAAATCCAGTGTTTCGACAAAGGAGGGGGCAGGAACCAATGCAACTTCTGGAGCAAGCCTGCGACTCGCGAACCTTTTCTTGGACACCCCGACATCTGGCAGCCAAGGGCCACTGGCAAATCCGACAAAAGGACTACCCAACACCGAGTAGAGCCAACTTCTGCCGGACATCACCGGCCAGACCTGGCCACGTTGCCCTCCAATACCTTGAGGTCTGGCTCTAGCCCCTCGATGGTGAACTTCATCTGCTTGATGACGTCCTGCAAGCAAACGGAAATATGCGCCGAACCAAATCGCGCAACCTGACAAAGTTTGACCAGAGAACTCAGGGCTGGGTGGTTCTTAATCCAGGCGTGAACTGCAATGGCTTGGAGGCTCGCGGGGGACAGACAGTCCGTCGCTCGGATGAACTTGCTATAGTTCCTGAGAGGTCAAGCTCGTGTCTATGCCAAGTGAAGCAACAGACATCCAGCAGAGTTGTCATAACTCACCCAAGATTGCGGGGCCCCCCCCCCCCCATTCCTTGACGTCGATTTCTTTCGATGTGGGCCAGGCTTGTAACAAAATGGGGGGGAGAGGGGGCCACAGGCAGCTGTTCATCCCAAGCAGCTCATACACCAGCATCTGCATGTCACCGTTCAGGTCCTCGTGCGTCAAATCGCCGACCACCCCGAACCCAGGACCCAGCGGTAGCTCCCCCCTATCTTCGAGGGGCTCCTCCGACTCCGTACCTGTAACATTCCACTAAGCAAGCCATAGGGGCTTCCAGCCGACTTCACAAGCAGGGCACCAATCCAACCGTCGCGCTTCTGACCAACCACCCCATTTACCGAAGCTGGTTTCCACTTCCGGCCCAACCGCTACCCCCGTAAGAAATAAGAAGGCGCAGAAAACAAAACATATATATATATGTATATATATATATATACATATTTCGAATGAACCCCCTGGGGTACCCCAACCGAAGCTTACGGCTTCGGGGCTTTGATGGCTTTGAAGACTTGAAAAAGCTCGGCGCGAAACGTGCGAACGTGGCTCCTTGATCTCCGCGTCCAGCTCATTGGCGCGCTTCACCAGCTCCGGCAGCTGCCCAGAGCTCACCATGCTATCGAAATAGCCTCGGGGATGGAACGGTCAAAAGGCAAGCTACCGCAGCAAAGGAGGTTTCGGGGGGGGGGGGGGCTGAGAGTTTTTTGGGGTGGGTGGGTTGGGCGCATTTTAGGATTTAGGGGGCGTTTGGGTGGGGTTGGGAGGTTTGGGGGGGTTGGGGGGGTTGGGGGATTGGGAGGGGGGGGGGGTTGCGGGGTTGGGGCGGTTGGTCAATTACCCTGATTTTGCGAAAGCAGCCAGAAGGAATCCCCACTTTTTTGCTAACATCCGAACTGAAGACGGCCCTCCACGGAAACCAGCGCAGTAGGTAAACCCGCAAATGACGAATGGATCATGGAACATGTCTGGTTACCCGAAGGCACATGGGATTCGAGATGATACCTTAGATGCCGAGTCCAAACGTGGATTCCACGAACTGTTGCCATCTTCTAGCCCTGCTTCTTGGGTTCAAGAGAATCCACTGGTGAATTCGCCGGCGCTCGTCCGGGAACTCCCCAAAGGAATTTAACCCCCAGACACCGAAATCCTCGCAGGGCGAATCCCACATCACAACCCCCTCCACGTGTTTCTTTGATTTGGCAGCCTGGGTTCCGCCAGGCCGCGCTTGGCGTCGAAGTGCTGTCGATCCAGGTCGCTTCCGCCGGTGGCGGGGGCCACCGGCTCCTTCTCGCCCTCGATGTGGTAGTACCTCAAAGCGTTCTTCGCACGGAATGCAAACTTCGCCGATCGTTCCTTTTTGAAGTGAGATACGGGCCCGCTTTTGTTCCTGTATTGGCTGCTTTTTGTGGGGTCGTTGCACTCATTGGTCTAGTGGGAGCCTTTTTGGGGCTGCTGCTGCCACCCATTCCGGCACTACTGACCTGGGGGCTCCTTTCGAAAGGCAAAGGAATATACATCGCAACAAACATGGAAGTGCACAGGTCCTCTTTTCAAAGATAATGTTGTCCAAAAGGAGCCTGTAAATCTCCAACCTTCCAGTGGCCTCAGCCTCTTTGTTTTGGGCCACCCGGCGCATTGAGCAACGCGCCCACGCGCCGTCGTGGCGGTGCACGGTCCATGGCGCCGGAAGGATGGGGGAAACTCAAGGTGCCCTCCCCCGCAAGCACAGGGTGCCTGACCGAACCCGGACTTTACCTTTGGCTGGAAATCAATTGATTATGAGAGGGCGCAGACGCCATAACAAACCTGGTCCCAAGACACATGCGCACTTAATTCAACTGCGAATCTTGCAAAGCTCGAAGCTCGTATCAGGAAGTCAACCTAAATCATTGAAGTTCTTGCAAGCTCATCAGACGCATCTGCATTACCTGCACAAAAGTTGAGTCAAGGGATGCCCTGGGCTTCATCAGGTGGCATCGCTCGTGTTCCCCCCCGCCGCTGCTTTCCCTTTGGACCTCGTGGTGTTGCGTGGACGGGCAGACACCCCACCGATATCCCAATATTCCATGCTCAGAACTCGACCCCGTTCCAAGACGAAAGCAAAATCATTGAAACGCACCTGACTTCCACAGCTGCCTTTCTGGAATGATCAATCGTCTGCACGCCCCTCCACTGACAGGAAGATTTGGAGAGCAATCCATGGTTGCACACAAATGTGGAAGGCCCCTAGCCTGATTCTGGACCATTGTTCACATGCGCGCGTCCCTCTGTCAAGCATGGCAGTTAAGCGCAGCACGTCACCATCTTGTGAGGCCGCCCACATCTGTCATCGCTACAGGCCTGACACTGAGTCAAACAAAAAGCATGTGCAGTGGAACCGTTGAGGACATCCACGTGAACGCTCTCTTGGTACATCCCGGAAGCCAACCAGCCGAGCGCCTGCGGGGCTTGCGATCGCAAGATGTTTTTGGGAGCTCCGGAACTCGCCTGGACATAGGAGCTCCGCTTGTGCTTAGTCAGCGGGATAATGGCATGGCGCACGACCTGAAGGTCACTGAGGCTCAACTCATGGAGGTAGTCGCTTGGCAGCCCGCTTGCAATCCTGATCGCCAAGGTGGTGCATCCCCAGGCGGCTTCAGCCAAGGCTCGTCGTGCGTGGTGTGTATGGAAGCCTTGAAGTGGGGCATCACGGTCTTCAACTCACCTGAGATTGCAGGGCTTGGTTCACTCCGCATGGCTGGGATCTGGTGAGGGCACAGGATGGTGCCTTGAAAGGGACGCCCAAAAAGCCGGCGAGCATGCGCCTTTGCTTTCCACCCAACGGAAAAAGACAATGCCGGGCCGAGCCCAAGTATCCCTTTCGCATGCGCGTGTTTCTTCTGCTGTTCTTCTGCTGAGGGCGTGCCCTCCTCGAAGCCAGTGCCGAGCTGCTGTAGAAGCTGAGGAGCTCCTCCGAAACGCCATCCAAGCAGCCAACAACTTGAGCCGTGCCCCAAACGTGTAACTCTTGCCTGTCTCGTCAGAAAACAAAACACCTTCTCCCCAGGCTGAAGGCCCAACCCAAAGCTCCAGTGTTTCGTGCAAGGACTCGAGTTGTGCTCCTCTGAGCCACTGGCGCTGAGTGAAATAGCGTGAGGGCCAATGCGAGTGGAACCTGTCCAAGGAAGCTATCCATGCGGAAGGGAACCCTGATGTTCTCCCTCACCCACGTGTGAAAAGTGAAAACCCCCCGCTTGGGCAGAGACCTCTCTCCCCGACGCGCTCCTTCAGCGTCACACCCCGTCCAGCCAGATCTGCCACTTTCATGGACCAGGCGGTAGAAGCCCGCCCGATGCCTCGAGATCCCCAGCTGGTCGGGTTCATTTTCCATTTGCTCGAAATTGTGTGGAAACTCGGGGTGGGGACGCCCGAAGATTGCAGCCTGCCGAACTTGCCCCCCTTCCCCCCTTCCCCAGCTGTTCGGGACAAGGATTTAAACACCCGAAAAGTTCCAATCACCACCAGCGTCAGCTGAATCCGATGCTGCCACACAGCCCGCAGACTTGACGCCATGCCCTGAGCCCTCGATGCCAGGGAGCAAGTGGCACTTAACTGACTCGTCAGATCCGGCGCCCCTTGCCTCAGTCGGGCGTCAAAATACTCCCAAAATTGTGATCTTCCTTTGGTTTCCCGGACGCCCTCCACGCACACACCCACACAAATCCACATATACAGGCCCGACCAGGGGCCCAAATGAAAGAAACAAAGCAAAGGAACGAAGACAAACTTCGACCAAAGCCGCCTTTTGCGGGCCGGGATTTGAGCGGGCCGGGAACTGGAAGCCATTTCCCTTGGGCCGGCTCAAGAAATGTACACACACACATGTGTATATATATATATATGTGTGTGTGTATGTATATATGTAGACATATTTATATATATATATATATATATATATATGTAGACATACACACACACACGCACACGCACACACACACACATATATATATATATACATATACATATATATATATATACATTGACATATTTATTGGTCAATGCATCCCTGGGCTCATCCAAAGGCACCCTGCCGCACACTCATCTCATTTCCGAGCGGCAAGGACTCCACAGTGGCAAACTGGCAGCTGCATTGCCTCAAGCCAAGAGGGAGCTACAAGCATCGGCCGCTCCGAGACCCGCTGATTTCCAACCATGGAAGTCTAGGGGGAAGCCCCTAACCGGAAAGTAGTCTTCCAGAACCCTGTCTTCCATGGGAGGATAGCGGGAGGTTGAAAATATCTGAAAATCTGTGGGGGCGGAAGCTTACTGTTGCGACAAGGGCAAGCCGTTTCCGTAGCTTTGACTGCTAAAGCCAGCATAAGCCACAGTCACCGGTTGAAGCACGAGCAACTCCCGAACGAGGCAAATGAACATGAAACCCAAAAGCCATCATTTTTGGATTTTGAGGGACTCAATTTGTGAGCACCCTACCGCGATAGCTACCTCTTCGCATCGTTTTCCGCCAGTATGGCGTTCAAGTTGGCACGCTCGCGAGTGCGGCAAGCAGCTCGGCCCACGCTTGGCGGGTGCCACTGGCAGCGCACGCCCTCATACTTCGGGCACTTCGCCCTGCGAGGAGTAAAGCACAAGGCCATCCACCACTGCACCACGCGCGGCGCAATGAGCAATGTCGCAGAGCGCGCCGCCCTGCTCGCCTTCTAGGAGGCATTTGGTCGCCCCGTGTGCCTCAATCCCGGCAACAATATTCTTCGGCAGCTGCACTTCCTGACAGGTCGAAAGGCTGCCGCCCCAAGTGCGCGCAGCCCTTGAAGGGGCTACAAGGGTCCATCATAACAAGAAAACAAACATCTCCCACCAATTAACATGGAACCTGACAGGGGATCCCTTTAAAACGAGAATTGTCTTCCATTCGAAGGTCAGGTTTCCTGTGAATTGGAGAGTGTGGTGCCACCCTACCTTTTAAGAAAAGATCCAGTGACAACCCCCCACCTCCTGGCCAGACTTCATGGCCGCCTCTAGCCACGCCTCGTCCTCGGCGAGTTGCCGCACCCAGTCCGCCATGGACCTCTCGTGGAAGCCCGGGACCTTCTTCGCCATGTGCGCGCAGTACTCCCTCGACACCTCTTCAGCGGACGTGGGTGGGGGGGGCGCCCCGAGATTTCAGCTTCAGCAGCTCTTCACATCTTCCCACGTCTAGAGTTTGTTTTGGATGCTTTATCTGACTCCGAGGAAAATAGTCTCCACAGTGAGGGGATTAAACTTGTTGTGTAGATAAAGGGACCTATGCAAAGATCAAAAGGGCGGATGTCCGCCCAATTTATGGTTGGGAGCGGTCCTTTTCAAATTGTGTTTTCCTCTTCTTTCTTCCAAACCAGCAAGCAAGCAGCCGCGGGTCGAAAAGCGTGCTGCCGTTTTGCAGAGTTCTGAAGTCGGGAAAAGGGCTTGATCCCTCGATGTCACCTGCGCAAACCCTTCGCTGGAGGGTCCCAGCCCCCTGCAAAAAACAACGCCCAAAGCAGGGGACACGCAGCCACCTGCCACTTCGACGGCTTCACTAGCAACAGCAGGGCACCAGGAGCCAGGTGGCCGCTCACTCATCTTTCGGAGCGGAATTGGACAGAAAGTAGCCATTTTTGCTTGGTTGCTGTTGACCCTCGACTTTTTGCGGGTCCAATGGAAAGAACCAATCAAACAGCCATGAATCAAGCCTGTAAGCTCAACTTGTGCATGAGCCCTTTGAGGGCGGTCACCAATCTGGGAACGTACTGGCAAATTTAGGGGTGGGAGGTCTCCAGTGCTATATAGTTCCTCACCTCTCTGAAAAGAAGGGAAAATAGTAGTACGCAATCGAAATTCCCTGACGCAATCCAACCGAATCATCATTTGGCAACCATTTGACATCAACAAGACATCTCCTCACGGCCTCTCTTTTTGCCCCCCCCCCCCCCCACCCCTCCATGTCGGCGTTGCACCCAGTTCAGAATTTTCATAACTTCATGTCCCACATTTACCAAACCTATGTACAATGTCAGGACAACGTGCCACCATGTCTGGCCCAAATCACTTCAATCTCCAAGGGTCCAGTTTGAGACATCTGCGGATGTGAGGAAACCAATGACAAAACGCATCTTTTCGCCCTAAGTCAAGCCAAGGACCAGGATGGCTCAGGCCTATGGCTTTAGGGCGGGCCACTTGTAGACAAACGGGAAAGTCGACAAGCAGGTTGGAAAAAGAGGCCCAGTTTTGCTACAGGATTCACCGCAAACCAATCTGTGCGGGATCTGCGCACGTCATCTTGGGGGACACGAATCCCTGTCTTGAGCTACGCCCACCTGCTCCAAGAAGCTGTAGTTGTTGGCCGCCTGCTCCCGGGGCAGTTGGTACCAGCCGTTCACGAAGCAGTACAAATCGTCCATGGGGAACTGCCTGTCCCGCGTGCGCAGGCTGGACCCGTCCGGCGCTACAAAGGTCACCTGAAAGGTCAAAGGAGCAAACCCCACCGTGGAGAATCAGAAGGGCAGCAAGCAACTGCTTGACTGAGGGGTCCTGGAAGACCGGTTTCCTTCAAAAAAGGGACCCTCTGCTGGGTTCCATGTGAGGGTGCAGGAGGAAAAATAAGAGAGAAATACATCAATTTCTCCAAGCTGCAGCGGGCGCAGCGCTAGTGTGCTTCAGGGACTCCTTGTCAGACTCGTGCAGCGGCCGTGTGAAGTCGCTCAGATTCCCAGTGCTGCGTGCCACCGCGCAGTCCGCCATCCGCCCCACCGGGGCATAGATGCAGTACCCGTCCTAAACTTTCAGCCCCAAAAGAGCTCAAGATGAGAACAGGCTGTTCTACAGTCACCTCGGGCAGAGATTGAAAAAAATATCCGGAGTGGAACATTTCTGCAACCATTGTGCTTCTGACGCGCACGGATGCAAGTAAAGATGTCGGGGTGGCTCTCTTGCAATTGTTGGGAGGACCAGTGTAGGCATGGATCCAGACATCGACTTACGCTTTTCGGGGGACTCAATGGAAACACCCTCCGGGGCCCTGTAGGCAGTGCGTCCAAACGCTCACGCAGCGGTCCTCCCCGGGATAGTGGGCCAAAGTCTGGCGGATGGGCTGCCGGAAGCTCTGCCAGGTGAGGGTCTCCAAGCACTTCTGCGGCAGGGCGTCAGCCTGCATGGGCTGAAGCAGAATGGCAAGGACCCCGCTCGGCATGGCAACCAAAGGGTGCCTCTAAACCAAAATTGATCTTCCACCAGTCAGATTCCGTTTCAGGGGGGCAGGGTACCACTTTCGACGGCAACCAAACGCTTCAAGCAAAACGTGCTCCGGTGTTGGAACCAGGTCTTGGTCGAAGCCAGCACCTGCACAGTCGTTTCGTGGGTCTGAAGCCTCATCTGCATGAAGGAGGTGCATGACTCACACTCTTCGCTGGCGCTCGCGGCCACCCAGCTCGCCAGCAAAACCACCAGCATTGCAATGGAGGGGGGTTCGATTGCGTTTCTTCGAGCTCAAGACAGCTGCAGGCACCAAGATGCGAACAGAGACGCGAAATCTGCGCGGTGGCGAAATATGTGCGGTGCCACCCCATCAGACACAAGTGGTGGCTCTTTCAGCCCAAAGTAAAAAATGTCCTGTTGGTTCCCTTTGCCCTATTTGCCCCGTCCGGTTCGCCCCGTCCCAGGGCATTGGCTTCCTCGGGTCCTTTGCATTGGTCCCATGGTGGGCTTGTTTCCCTTTTGGTTTGCCTTTGAACCCCCCAAAAAGGTTGTCCTGAGAGGAAAAAAAACAAGAAAACATTGTTTGGGGCCGCGCCTCCCCCGAAAATCTTCCCCAACTCCCCCGACTCCCCCAACCCCTCCACCACCCCCCGCCCCCGCCAACCCCTCCCCCTGCCGCGCGGCTCCGAGCTCTGCAGCTGCCGGTGCCGGATCGGGCGCTTGTAGCCGCCCGAGAGGATCAAGGCGGCCGCCACGCACGTCAGGGAGTCCAGCACCTCGGAAAGTGGCCCCCGTTCAACCTTCGCACCACCGCCCCCCCCCCCACCCGTTTTTTGTTGTTTTTCTCTGAATGGTAGTGGAAAAAACCGTTTTTTCCCCATTTTGAAAGGAGAACCCATGGTGAACTGAAAGGAACAGAACAAGCTGGGTTTCAAATGGTGAATTGAACGGGAAAACACGTGGCGAATTGAAATGAAAACCGAATTTTACATTTTACATGGTGAATTGCATGCCTCTCTTGAAGAATCGGGGAACATGATGTCATGCCCGAAACAAGGAGGGTGGTTGGAATACTAGGTTGTTGAAACAAAAGGGCAACAGGTTGCAAACGCAAAGAGGTTGTTTGAAGGGGGCTGGCAGGTTGGGTTGGACTGCACCTACAAGCCAGGAACCAATCATGGAAGTGGACAGAAGGCTTGCCCAAAAAAGTAGACTTCCAAAAGTTTCCATGATCCCCCATTCCTGTCACCTTGATTATAGGGGGTGCGTCCCGCCAGAGGGCTTTCCTCCAAATGGGACCCCTATCAATCCTGCGGCGCGCACACCCACAAACAAACAAACAAACAAACAAACAAACAAACAAACAACCTTCTTATGTGCAGTTGCAAAACGCAATTCAACAAAGGTAGCAGCTTGACCTTTTTAGCTCGGCAAACCGTGAGTGGCTGCATGCACCCAATGTAATATGTCTGAGCAAGGACAGAAGCTACCCGCAAGGATTCGAAGGCACACCCACGCATGAGTGTAGCTAGAATCTTGCAAGCCTGCTTGGTGAGCGAGCGACGCATGAGCACCAGGGTTGCACGGATGTCCCTGATTTCTCACAGCGTGCGATCAAGATATCCCTCTGACTGTTCCTTCCCAAAGCTGAATTGGGGCACTGCTCAAAGCTTGGAGCAGCAACCGAGGGCATCTGACGCATGCCTCGCCTGAATCGCCGCACTGGTTGCAAGGTCCGTGGTATCCACATAGCCCCGCCCATCCAGTACCGTCTTTACAGCCAGCGGCAGCAGCATGCTGCCTAGGCGCGTTTCATGAAACTGCGTTTCATGAAACTGGACAGGGAAACAAAGGTATTGTAAGCTGAACCATGGTCAACGTGAAATGCATTAAAGTACCTACCATGTCCTTGCAGAACTCCTGGATCCCTCTTTAAAGGCAAATTTGGATACCCCTATCTCCTTCGCTCCCTTTCAACCACTCGCAACACCCCCAAAACACATGAGCGCCTTAGATGCAGGGGACTTGGGGGGCTAACCTTGTGGATATGTCACATGTTCGAAACGGCTGCTTTCCCTAGTTCTCAGCATGGACAAGCGGGGGAGGCGGACAAATCGTGTCCTTGGCTCGCGGCTGGCGACGGCGTTCACCGCCACTCCCGCCAACTGGCGCCTGACTACGATCCTGGCAAGGGTCCAAGGGGCGAACCCCCGACTCCGAGGGAAATCCTAGCAGCCCCCTGCCTGGCCCTCTTCAGCTGCTGCGCTGCACGCCTGCGAGCCCGAAACAAGAAAGCTGGGTGGGCGTTGGTTGGGTGGTTGCCTGTGTGCTTGTGCAATTGTGTGAGGGCGTGCGTGCTTGCTCGTATGCGTGCATGCCTGTGCTCAGCTGCAATTGGAGTTGGAGCTGGAGTTGGAGCCTGGGAGTTGCAAGGTGGGAGTCTGTGGGAGGTGGTTGGATGGCTGGCAATTGGGATTTGTTGGCTTCTTTGTGAGTTCTTCAAACTCAGAGACAGCACAAAAGCCTGCCTTTGACTGAAGCGCTGATTGGCTTTGCGCATTCAGAGCACACTCCAGTCAGCCCCTAC